GTTTGAAGGGCTTAACTAAGGTTGGTTTAGGTTTGAGTCAGGCGTGGTTTAAGGTGTTTTATTTACGGGTAGTTTGTGCTGTATTGAGGGGTTGATGTAGTGATATAAGGTGCCTTTTACAGTAAGGGTTGGCTTTGGGTTTATTTAGGGTAGGGGGGCTTAAGTTTAAGGCTGTTTATTCAAAAGTGGTTCACGGGTTGGAAAGGGTAGGTTTAGGGTCTATGTTTTTCCAAGAGTGCTGTGAAGCAGCACTCTCCAAAGTAGGCGCGGTCCATGGTACAATGCAGTTTAGAGGTACAGTACGGTGCGATGGTGCGGTACGGTGGTGCGGTGGTACGGTATGTGGTGCGGTACATGGTACGGTATGTGGTGCGGTACGGTGAGGCGGTGGTTTTGAGGTACGGTACGATGGTGCGGTACGTGGGCACGGTGGTTTTGGTTTTGAGGTACGGTATACGGTGGTACGGTATACGGTGGTACGGTATACGGTGGTACGGTATACGGTGGTACGGTATGGTGGTGTGGTGGATTGGAAGTAGGGCACGGTGGCCTGGTGAGGCAGCGCAGTAACGTTAGCTTGGGCGCATGTCAGGCTGGTGTAGGGACTGTGGTGGGTTTTGGGCGTGGAGATTGGATCACTGCAACACTACTGCAACAGTACTATTTGTGATATTTGGCGGTTTTGGTGGCATGATAGCTGGCGCGTTTTGTTTCCTGATTGGTTGGTGGTGTTTTGGCTTTGAAGGTTGTGGTTTCAAGCTCTGCGCCCTATCATACGAATTTTCAGAACCATAACTTACGAGATGTAAACTAGTTGAAGGGTGGTGATACGCAATGATATAACACGATTGTGCTTTCACTTCGCCAACAGTTTGCCGGCCGAACGAAGTGCAGTTGGCCCCGCGAATCCTTGTGAATGCAAGTGAGCGGCAGACATGCAAGTGAGCCAACGCAACTGACTTAATATCTGATAAAAGAATCCAAAATTGTGGAATAGTAGAAGCTGCAGAGTTTTTTCCCATACGGGTTGATGCCGATACAATGTAAGGAGTCTTTTTGTGTATAGCATTAAACAGCGAACATGAATCACATCGTTGCCTGACTGCACGGCCAAATCATCACAGCAAAACAAGATATTGTAGGCTAGACTTGGCTACAGTCTAGGTGAATTATATACAGGAGACACCCGCTGTTGTCGGTCTACAGGCATTTTGCTTCAATGGGGGGACCATAGCAGCTCGCAACTATGGTTGATCCAAATTTCAAGCAAGACAAAGTTGGCAAAACTGTTGGCATGTGCACGTGCAATGGCCATTTCCATCCATTTCCTGCTTCCGATCAATCCTTGACACCTGCGCGTCGCTGGCTTTGAGTGGTGCCCCAGCAGATCACCGTGTCTTGAAGCAAAGCCGAGTCGGATTTAAATTTGCTGTTGTTTGGACATCATGAGACGGGATATGGAACCAACGAAACATTTGGTGGACAACATGGGATATGTATGGCGTGCCCCATGTTTGAGATTGGATGACGCATAGTGATGGGTGCCACGCGCTGACATGCGTCTGTTTGGGCATTTCGTCCCATTGCGGGGCAAGCAAATCTAGTCCCCTTCCGTTTATATCGCCAGCTCTCTTTCATATTTTGTTGCCATGATGCAAAGGACGTGGAAATCTTCAACACAGGAAGCGAAGAGGGTGCAAGAATCTAAAGAATCTAAAGCCTTGGGATTTAAATAGGTGTGACGCATTGGCTTCTTTTTGAACATTTACTATTTGTATGATTTTGTATGGTGAAAAGGCAAAACAGGACGATGGTCAGTTTTTGGCTTCCTTTGTTGTGGCAAGGGCAGGTTGTTTCCTTTCAGCCGAGGCGTAGCTCACCGAATCTTGCCGAGCATTTGTGGAAGTAGGTGATGCGGCGAATATTTGACTGATGTTTCTGGCGTTCCGTTTGTGGCGTCCCTGTCATTGCCCTTGCATCGCCTATTCACTCAAGTCCACTGTCAGATCTCGGCGTCCTTATTGCCAAGGGTCCTGGTAGATGGGTCAATCGTCAAGCGACCCGACAGTAAGTCCAACAAGATCAGCATCAAGGACGGTCGCTTGGTGCCGGGCAGTACCAAAGGACCGGGGAAACACAAACAACTTACTTCAAGAACCATGTTGCGTGCAACCATTCTTGGCTTTGCAGTACATGGGTTGACCGTGCTATTGTGCCACCGTACCTGTGCCCTAAACCGCACCACCGTACCGTACCACCGTACCACCGTACCACTGTAATTACTGTACCAGGTTAGGAGTAGACAGGAGTAGACAGGAGTACATGGCATGGCAAGGGATGCCCACCGTGCCGCCGTACTGTACCATCGTACTGAGCCACCGTGCCACCGTACCGTACCAGGTTATCTGGTACGGTACGGTGGTACTGTGGTACGGTACGGCGGTATGGTGGTACGGTGGTACGGTTCGATGGTATGGTACGGCAGCACGGTGGGCATCCTTTGCCTTCTCTATCCTGTTTCCTGTCTACTCCTAACCTGGACGGCTAACGGATCAAAAAAAACAAATAAGGATCAAAAAAAAACAAATAAGGACGATCGTAGTGAAAATCGTCAACCTAACCTGGCAGGGTACATTGGTACAGTGGTATGGTGGCACGGTACGGTTGGTACGGTGGTACGGTACGATGGTACGGTACGGCGGCACGGTGGGCATCCCTTGCCATGCCATCTACTCCTGTCTATTCCTAACCGGGTACGGTACACGGTGGTACGGCACTGTGGCGCAGTGGCAGGGTACAGTGTACGATGGCACAATAGCACGGTCAACCCATGTACTGCAAAGCCAAGAATGGTTGCACGCAACATGGTTCTTGAAGTAAGTTGTTTGTGTTTCCCCGGTCCTTTGGTACTGCCCGGCACCAAGCGACCGTCCTTGATGCTGATCTTGTTGGACTTACTGTCGGGTCGCTTGACGATTGACCCATCTACCAGGATCCTTGGCAATAAGGACGCCGAGATCTGACAGTGGACTTGAGTGAATAGGCGATGCAAGGGCAATGACAGGGACGCCACAAACGGAACGCCAGAAACATCAGTCAAATATTCGCCGCATCACCTACTTCCACAAATGCTCGGCAAGATTCGGTGAGCTACGCCTCGGCTGAAAGGAAACAACCTGCCCTTGCCACAACAAAGGAAGCCAAAAACTGACCATCGTCCTGTTTTGCCTTTTCACCATACAAAATCATACAAATAGTAAATGTTCAAAAAGAAGCCAATGCGTCACACCTATTTAAATCCCAAGGCTTTAGATTCTTTAGATTCTTGCACCCTCTTCGCTTCCCGTGTTGAAGATTTCCACGTCCTTTGCATCATGGCAACAAAATATGAAAGAGAGCTGGCGATATAAACGGAAGGGGACTAGATTTGCTTGCCCCGCAATGGGACGAAATGCCCAAACAGACGCATGTCAGCGCGTGGCACCCATCACTATGCGTCATCCAATCTCAAACATGGGGCACGCCATACATGTTGTCCACCAAATGTTTCGTTGGTTCATGTTGTTTCCATATCCCGTCTCATGATGTCCAAACATGTCCAAACAACAGCAAATTTAAATCCGACTCGGCTTTGCTTCAAGACACGGTGAATCACGGTGATCTGCTGGGGCACCACTCAAAGCCAGCGACGCGCAGGTGTCAAGGATTGATCGGAAATGGCCATTGCACGTGCACATGCCAACAGTTTTGCCAACTTTGTCTTGCTTGAAATTTGGATCAACATGGATCAACCATAGTTGCGAGCTGCTATGGTCCCCCCATTGAAGCAAAATGCCTGTAGACCGACAACAGCGGGTGTCTCCTGTATATAATTCACCTAGACTGTAGCCAAGTCTAGCCTACAATATCTTGTTTTGCTGTGATGATTTGGCCGCGCAGTCAGGCAACGATGTGATTCATGTTCGCTGTTTAATGCTATACACAAAAAGACTCCTTACATTGTATCGGCATCAACCCGTATGGGAAAAAACTCTGCAGCCCCGAGGCCACAGTATGAAATCCATGTTCTATTGTTTTTACTGATTTCAAGTCATTGGCGTTGGCCCACTTGCATGTCTGCCGCCTATTGCATGCACAAGGATTCGCGGGGCCAACTGCACTGCGGCCGGCAAATTAAATTGTTGGCGGAGTGAAGGCACAGTTTTTATATCATTGTTTATCACCACCCTTCAACTAGTTTATAAGCCAGCCATAGTTTCTGCAAATAGATTTGATAGGGCGCAGAGCTTGAAACCTACAACCAACAAAGCCAAAACACCACCAACCAATGGACCAATCGTAAAACAAAATGAGCCGGCCATCATGCTACCAAACCGCCAAGCCTGACGTGCGCCCAAACTAGCGATAATGTGGGGGCACAGCAGGCCATCGTGCCCAACTTCCAAACCGCCACACCACCTACCGTACCACTGTATACCGTACCCTCAAAAACCAAAACCACCATGCCCACGTACCGCACCGTCGTACCGTACCTCAAAACCACCGTACTACCGTCCTGTACCACTGTACTGTACCCACACAACACCCCACCGTACTTCACGTGCAGGCACCTGTCCGGGTACCCTCCCACAGCACTCTTGAAACAACATAATTTAGGGTGCTTATCATCTAGGGTTGGTTTAGGCTGGCTTGCTTGTTTCCTTGCTTGCTTGCTGGCTGGCTTGCTTGCTTCCCTTCCTTCCTTCCTTGCCCTGGTTTCATCCTTGGTCCTTGCTTGCTTGCTGGCTGGCTTGCTTCCTGGCTGCCTATGGAAATTGAAAAAAAATGGTGAAATTAAATTGGAAGAAAAAACACAAAATAGGGTACCCATAAATAAACTGACAAATAGAAGCCTAAATTGGCGTCGGGATCAAAGAAAGTAATTATTTATATACATAATATATATTATAATTACATTCATGTTTGATTGTTTTATTACTGTATGCGGCGTATCTCCAAAGTTACTGGTGGCGAATTTGCCAGGGGAGTCCAAACTCATCTTCCAACCGCTCCGAAGATCCAACCTTGCTACATCGGCCACTCGACAGCAGCGCATGGGCCTAGCCGCTCTCGCTCTGGCTCTTGGTGGTTTGAAATTAAAAACCATCCCAAAAATGATCATCAAATTTGGATCATGGAATGATCATCACATGAAACAACTGAAACAACTGAAACAACCAAGAATTTCTGTGGACAAGAAATGAAAATGCTCCGCTTTGTACAATGCCTTTGGGGTAAATCTCAGGGTGGCACCTGCAGAAGGACTTGTGCTGCAGACACGGCTTGCCGCCGTATGAGCAAAGCATCCTCTGCAGAGTCTCGGGCTTCAGCACAAAGCAACTCGGACATGTGAAGCTCCTGTCAGCCCCGGTCGTGGCTCACAGGCCAACAGCCAAGAGCTACTTGTTGGGGTGGCATTTTCAATGGAAACTATTTCGTCAATTTTGGTAAACCACCCAAATTGGATCAAGCAGGTGCCTGTTGGATAATTTGGGGTGAAAAGAAACGAAACTAGAACCCAAAATATCCCAAAACCCATACAGATCCATACAGTAAATGCTATTCGGGATCAAAAATGGCTACCAGGGCTCCGTCCCCATGTTCGGCATCCTGGGCCACCTCTGTTAGGCCAACTGCAGCCGCTTCCAGCTCTGCAGTCTGCTGCTGTTCCAACTGCAGCTCGCCCTGGTAGCCATGCGCCTTCCTTGGCGTGCGAAGCTAAGGGGAATCCATTGCATACTTCGAACATATACATGTATATATAAATACGAATTTAAGTCGCGAAAAAAAAACTTAAAGATCATATGATCGATCCATATATATATATCTATATCTATCTATCCTATCCTATCCTATCCCTATCCCTATCCCTATCCTATCTATCCTATCTATCCTATCTATCCTATCTATCCTATCTATCCTATCTATCCTATCTATCCTATCTATCCTATCTATCTATCTATCTATCTATCTATCCTATCTATCCTATCTATCCTATCTATCCTATCTATCCTATCTATCCTATCTATCCTATCTATCCTATCTATCCTATCTATCCTTCTATCCTATCTATCCTATCTATCCTATCTATCCTATCTATCCTATCTATCCTATCTATCCTATCTATCCTATCTATCCTATCTATCCTATCTATCTAATCTATCTAATCTATTCTAATCTATCTAATCTATCTAATCTATCTAATCTAATCTAATCTAATCTAATCTAATCCATCTAATCTAATCTAATCTAATCTAATCTAATCTAATCTAATCTATCTATCTATCTATCTAATCTATCTATCTATCTATCTATCTATCTTACTTATCTATCTTATCTATCATATCTTATCTATCTATCTAATCTAATCTAATCTAATCTAATTTACTCTATCTATCTATCCGATCGATCTATATATCTATCCGATCGAACGATCGATCTATCTATCTATCTATCTATCTATCTATCTATCTATCTATCTATCTATCTATCTATCTATCTATCTATCTATCTTATCTATCTTATCTATCTTATCTATCTTATCTATCTTATCTATCTACTCTTATCTAATCTTATCTAATCTTATCTGTTCTTATCTTATCTATCTATTTTATCTATCTTATCTATCTTATCTATCTTATCTATCTATCTATCCATCGATCTATCTATCGATCTATCTATCTATCTATCTATCTTATCTATCTATTTATCTATCTATCTATCTATCTTATCTATCTAATCTTATCTTATGTTATCTAATCTTATCTATTCTTATCTTATCTATCTATCTATTTTATCTATCTTATCTATCTTATCTATCTTATCTATCTATCTATCTATCTGTCTATCTATCAATCTATCTATTTATCTATCTATCTATCCATCTTTCTAATCTAATCTAATCTAATCTACTCTAATCTATCTATCTATCTATCTACCTACCTACCTATGTATCTAACTATCTATCTATTTATCCATCTTATCTATCTAATCTAATCTAATCTATTCTTTTCTTATCTTATCTATCTATTCTTATCTTATATTATCTATATTATCTATCTTATCTATCTTCTCTATCTTATCGATCTTATCTATCGTATCTATCTTATCTATCTTATCCATCTTTCTATCTATCTATCTATCTATCTTTCTATCCATCTATCTATCTATCCGATCGATCTATATATCTATCCGATCGAACGATCGATCTATCTATCTATCTATCTATTTATCTATCTATCTAGCTATATATATATATGCATATGTATATGCGTGTGTGTGAAATTATTGATATTGATGTTTGATACGTTTGAACAGCCACAGTTGGCCGTGAGTTGACAGTGAACAGCCAAGGCGCAATCCTTTTCCCAGACCTGCCGCACAGGTCCACATCACGCCTCACCTTGCATGACACCATGTATGACCATGTCCACTATACTATCTATACATATCTATACATATCTATACATACCTAATATCTATACATCATTAACCATCATTATACATCCGGCACTCGGATGCTCATCCTTGGAGATGCTGACGCCGAAATGACCACAGTAGCACTTCCCAAGTTGGGCTTAGATGTCCCCAAGTTGAACTATTGTCCCAAAGCCATGATAAAATCCAAGGTTCAAAGTGTTCTTCTCCGCCAACAGCCGCGCCTAGATGAAGTGGTGGTTTGTTTAGACTGGTGCTTTCGAACGCCGCCAGAACCACCTTTTCTGGGGGTCACGCAGTCCAAACATATCCAGACTCCAGACTACCAGAAGAGTTCTCAGCCAACGGGGAAAACAAAAACAAAAATTCATTCTTCAATGGGCACCCAGCATTTCGAAATCACTTGCCGCCCTTCAATCCACAGCCAATGATCAGCAAGCAAAACCCCAGATTCGTTCCATCCAAGGCACAAAATTCAATTGGGAGCGACGATCTGCCAAAGCCGTCTCTGCTGCCTGCAACTCCTAGAGCTGGGAGAAAAGATGTCACATGGCCCTCATGTTCTACAAGCTGCTAAGATCTGTTAAGGCTCGCAACTACCCGATACCGCAGTTTCCCCCATCAAGGGCTTTCCACTTGTCAAGTTGGATATATATATATATATAGTCTGTGGCTCCTCCCTCAAGACTTCCGTCGATGCAGTCATTCGACTGCGGCCCTCATCGCGTGACTTGGGAACCATTGCGGGCCACGTCGGGCGACCATGCCATGCTTTCAGAAGCGCATTCCAGGAAAGCACAAAGGATCACCAAGGGCAGCATATGCAACCCTACTGGTCTCGGGGTGGGTCCGTTACCTTCATAAGATATCATAACATACGCATAACATGGTTCAAATTGTGTGGTGGGGTTCAAATTGTGTGGTGGGAGACGAGAGCAACAAAGTCTGAGCTGTTACTTGGGCCAGAGCTGCCAGCTGGATCGGCTTGTCACCAGTCGCATCCAATCCATAGGCTCTTCATGACAGTAACACCAATGTGATTGCCAGAGTCCAAGTCAACATCACACTAGAACTCCAGATAACCTCCATTTAATAGATGACTACAGTAGGTCAATCATACTTAAGTATGATCAAAACATATCAAAACACATCAACATTAAATAGCTGGAATCGGCTTCCAGGAAATGTTTCGACACTCCAAACCTCTCCAGGGCTGGCTTGCAAAGCTGTCGGCAGATGCGCTGAGCCAAGGATTCATCCAGCCATCTATGCCGTGCTAAGGAGTCTGCAGCCACCTGAAATCATAGCGCTATGACCGCTATGATCTGTGATCCAAGAGAGCTTCACTGACTGCGAAACATCATTGAATATGAGAGCTGCTGCAGGTATGTCCTGCAACCCTGGAAATCGAAAATCCTCCAATTTATAGATGAGTTTCCCATAATCATTAATACCTCCTTTTTAAAGGGTTTTCCCATTGCCATGTTTGATTCCAAAAGGGTATGGCTTACCTAGTCATACCTAGTCAGCCCCCACCACTGGCGCCAACGACTTGCGTTTTGTTTCTAAGGCTGCTGCAATTGCAAGGCCGGAGTGGTCTCCATGCTTATCTTCCTCCTTGATGTTCAATGAAAAAAAGCCCCTTCCATGTCAGTCCTTATCCTATCCACGTGGCTATGGCTCAAATAAAGATGGTCTACCATTTTTGATCTAAACTTTTTCTCGCATATCCGTGTATGTACACATATATATATATGTGTGTGTACATAATATGTGTATATATATATGCGCGTGTGTGTGTGTAATATTATTATATTACAATATTATATATATATAATTCATCACTCATTGAGGGGGGGTGATCATTTTTGCCCTCTCCATGCTGTAACCTGTCAATATCGTAATGGTTCTTCCATGATTTTCATCGCAAGCTTCCCAAGATCCCCTGCGCCCGAACCCCTCCTCAAAGGAAGGCCCAGCAGCTGCACAGCAGGCAGCTCCAGCCCTGCGCGCCAAGTGCAGGAGCTCAGGCACTTTGGCCGCAGCCAGTGCCGCCTGCGTCCGACAAATATGGATGGGTGATGGTCATATAATTGGAATCCTCACAAAGGGATCGACAATCAATGACCACCCAATATATGGTACTCTTTTAGTTTATCCAACTATTGACGATGGCTCAAATGGCCATGGAAAAATTGGGAAAAATTGACAAAGTATGGATTTTTGGGCACGCAAAAAGATCAAACAAAGCCATTTGACAATGGAAAGTCATCGAAATGAGGATATGTCCAGATGTCATTTTCCGAACGAATTGTTGCTGGTACAATTTTTGGGTATGACTGGTTTTCACTCATCGGAGGTATAGGCAACTAGTAATTCGGAGATTAAATCAGATTAGCCAGCGAAAATGACAGTTACATGGGATTGTGTGGGTTGGTTATTCTGATGGAACTCCCCATTTTGGATCTGTTCTTGTATGAGGCAAGGCGTTGGACTCATCATTCTTAGAGTTCCCATAATTTTGTGGAAGCCATTTCTGTTGGATTAACCAGAAGAAAGTCACCTCAGGGCCTCAGGTCCCCCCAATTGATGGGCCAATGGCTTCGGGGCTTCACCTCACATGCATCGATCCCTAAGTCATAGGCCAGGGCATTTGGCTCCAGCCGCTTGTACATCATCTCCATGAGCAACTGGCAGTGGATCATGGATCCGCTGATTTTGGGAATCCCAAAAAAAGCACGATGCTGGTACCAGAATGGTACCGCTCCTAGTTCTGGTTCTTTGGGATACATGTAACATATTGTAACATGTTCCTGATCAATATGTGCACATCCCCTACCAAACCATGGTTTCTATGTTTCTATGGTTTCGATACTGGGGGGTTGATACTGGGGGGAAGGGATTAAGACTCAAGCTGAGAACACTGAAACCCAAAACAACCCGAAGATCCCACAGTCACGTCGGAAATTGGCCTGATGCCAGATTCAGGTTCTGCACAGCGAGAAGATTCCAAGTATAGATATATTATATATATACACAGTATATCATTGCAACAGCGATGCCCCATGGGTTCTCAAACCGGCATCGTGAATCATGTTGATACAGTACGGCAGTTTTGACATGTTTTGACATGTTTTGACATCTGAACCCAGCTCTGCCACTTCTATGTTTTCATACTTTTAACTTTTTACATATTTTTACTTTTTGCATCTTTTTGCATGTTTTGCCCACCGGTGCCTCGAAAAAAACTGGAGGCCCATTGACGGAGCGAGCCGACGCTTCGCCCAAAGCTCCAAGGGCGGTTGTGTAGCTCAGTTTGCTGGGCACCTCAGGAATCTCAGTTGATGGTTGATGATGGTTGATTCTGGTTGATTCTGGTTGATGTAGATTCAGTGGTTACCCTCTGGTAAATGTTTACATAACTATGGAAAATCACAATTTTCAATTGGTAAATCCACTATAATGGGCCATGTTCAATAGCCATGTTAAATTACCAGTGGGCCAGAGGGTAAGTTGTTGCCGTTTGTGTATCAATGTGATGAGTCTCGCCCAGGTCATCGTTCGTTTGCCTCTGGCAATCTACAATGACAGAATCATATAGCACGGGATTCCCCTGGCGCTCAAATGTGGCACAGCATTGGTTTCAACAAGTTGACACAAGTTGTGACATGATTCGAGCCCTTTGGGCCCACTAATGTCCACTAGGCGCGTGGCCATTTTTTGGCTTGGCATACCTCGCAAAAGTCTGAGAGCCACAGGCCACTCTGTCCCTTTCCTGGGCGCTTGAAAAACAGCAGCAGCAGCCAAAAGCCACAGCTGGTGCAATCACACAAAGTCTACCATCATATTTCTATAGTACTCCCACACAATGGTAAAGTAAAATCGTACCAAAAGCTAAAAGCATCGAAAAGAATGGCAACATGTTTTCACTATCCTTTTTGTGGGTCACTATAGCTTCCTAAAGCCTGAGACAATCTATGTCTATTTCAGAGATGCCCTGGCCCCAAAGCCCGGTTTGGCCCGGTTAGGGGAATAGCATGAAATTGCGAGGTCACGAGATCAGCTACTGGCGACATAAGATGACATATCCCCACGTGCAACTTTGTTTTAATTTACAGAAGTATGCTGCCAGTCCACCATTAAGATGTTGCATTTCAACCTAGGCCAGCATACGTCTAAATACTAGGTCCATCTAGATCCCAGGTAGAAACAACAATTGTCAAACTGGAGGAAAACATAGGAAAACATAGACCACACGCCAAGCCTCGCACAAGCACTCATGGCTGAGTTCAATGTCATGACTTCACATCTGATGCGTGAAGCGCAAGCTCCTTCCAACAGGAGTCGCAATGCCCAACGCCATTGCCAGCCATGGTCCTTGGAGGCTTCCCAGCCATGGGATCCAGAAATTGTCAACAACACCATGGGATCCCGCCAAGTGTCGCAGGCGCTCACGGCAGTACCATAGGTCCTTGTTTGATGGATCATCCCAAATCTGTTCAATTTTGACTCCAGTTCTGGCTGAAAAAAAGGCTGCTCAGACTGTGAAACGACTTGCCGCATGGGTTTCTCTAAAAGCAAGGTACCTCCAAATTTCATGGCAGATGATGGCAGTTTTGGATAGTTTTGGTATAAAAACATCCACTTTCGGGGGTATCCAGCGATTTCAAACACACCCACCAACGCAGTTGAGCCACACATCATCGGCTCGCACCTCCAGGGCCGTTTCCGGTGGCGGAGGTAACATGTGAGCAATGGGGTGCAGGCCTGCAATGAATTGAATGATTGCAATGAAGCCCATCTGAATCGTAGTAGATATATGATAATAATTGATGATGTATGTATATGCATGATTATATGCATGTAATTTAATTAATGGAATATAGCAAAATCAGCAGAGGATGCACAAGTTGGTAGTTAGATCGTTAGATCCGTTAGATCACTCTAAGGCATTCTACGGTGAATACGCATTGGTCTTGGGCCTCGGGTCCTGCGGATGTAATCCGTCTCCGGGGAATGCCTTTCAGCAAGTGCACAGCTTTTTGCCACTGCGACACCTGCAGATCCATCCACAGGGACACCCCATGGTGGCACTCAGCTGAAGGCTAAGAAAATCGAACAAATTTTGCGATATTTTACGAGCATAGAGCGAGCATCACATGTTTACTACATGGAAGTCAGGTCACCAGGATTCGCAACAGACTTACACCTGGCTGGAAAAATTGGAAAAGAAGTCGTCGTTGGCCAGCGCCATCCGGCGCCTTGCGAAAGCAGCTCAAGGCCGCGTTAAAGCTCACGATGTTGGCGCAAATCCGCTGTTGTGGTCTCCAGGCAGTCAGTTCCTGCTGCATGGTGAAGAGAGCCAGTCAAAATCATGTACCCTCTGGTAAACTAACGTAACTATGGGAAATCACTTTGTTTTACTGGTAAATCCACTATGAATGGCAATTTTCAATAGCTATGTTAGCTTACCAGAAGGTAAACGTCACCCGACCCAACTCCTTGGGGATATCATCTCTGATAGAGCGTCAAGGTCTGGGTGCCCAGAGGTCCTCAAGGAACTCCATCCCTCTCTCCCAATGCTGGCGGTACCTCCCAAGGTCCCAAGGATTCAACATTGGTGAAACCACCTGCCCGGCGCACTCCAAGGCGCTGATGGCGGTGTTGTAAGACATTTCTACCGGATCCAGGTTGATGACCTGGAAGGTCCCCATTTTGGCCAAATACCCAATAAAAAATCCCATCCAATCTCTCCATCGCGCAAATATCACCGTGATGAAGTTATAAAAAGATATAAAAAAAATACAAAAAAAACTTGGTGCTTGAAGAACTTGAAGCTTCCCCTTGAGGCCAATTTGATGGGGAAATATGATGGAAATATGTACATTGTACATGGAAATACCATGGAAATACCATGAGATTGCCCATGTCTCAAGGATTTTCCCAGGCTGGGCTGACCCGCAACTGACTGAAGAGCCCAAGGGCCATCTCCCAGGAGCCACTACGGCCCCCGCAGGCATTAATGGCCTCAAGGCGGATGAGGTGACCCAAAAATATGGCTACTACGATTTAACAAACTACTATGGGATTAAAAATGTATATATATATATTATTTAAATAAAACTAGTAGATATATATATGATATATCATATGTAATTAATACATATAATATATCATATATATATAATATAATATATATATATATAATATTATATTATATATATATATTGTATATATTATATATATTGTATATATTATATATATATTGTATATACTATATATATATTATATATAATATATATAATATATATAGTAAATACAATATATATATAATATATATATATACAATATATATAATATATACAATATATATATAATATTAAAAAAAAAAATATTCTATATATTTAATATATTATATATATTATATGATATATATATATATTATATTATATATATTATATATATTATCTATACAATATTTGTAATCTATGATTATATATTATATATTATATATTATATATATTATATATATATACTATATACATTATATATACTATATATATTATATATATATTATATATTATAAATATTTTATATATTATATGCATTTAAAATATTATATATGTTATATATATTTTATATATGATATTTTATATATAAAATATATGATATATATTATATATATTTTATGTATATTATATATATTATATATATTATATATATTATATATATTATATATATTATATATATTATATATATTATATATATGATATATATTACATTTTTTATATTATATACATATTACATATGTTCTATATATTATATATATATATTATATATACTTTATATATTCTCTATATATATATATTCTAAAAATATATATATTCTATATATATATTCTGTAAATATATATATATGTATTTATAGATATATATAAATATCTATGCATTCTATATATATATATTCTATTTATATAGTCTATATATATATTCTATATATTGCATAAAAATTCTATATACATTCTAAAATATATTCTATTTATATACATATATATTCTACATATATGTGTATTTAGACTGTGTAGAATATATATATATATGCATTATATTTATTATTATATAGAATATTATATAATATATATATTACATTCTATATTTTATATTCTATATATATACAATCTACAAATTTATATTATATATTATTATATATATTCTATTTAGATATATTCTTTGTATATAAATATATTCTACATATATATATGTGTGTGTTCTATACACATATAATCACATATATATATATATATATATTATATATATATTACCTATAATTTAGCGTCTGGAACCCATGTATTTTGATTGCCAGATTCAATTCAAACTTGCGAAAGAATCTTCCACAGGCAGTGAAATTGGGGTTCGGTTTTTAAATCTCTGGGTGTAAGGTATAAACCGACCATTTTATGCGGAGATCACGGAGATATCATGACGTTAAAACAAAACTCAATACGACGAATAAATACGAATATGACTTGGGTGTGTCCAGAGAGGAGTTTAAAAAAACGCAACTTGCTGTTTAAATAGGAAACACAAACCCAAGATGCAACATGTTGAAATTAAATATTAATTCCATTGGCTTGAGATGGATTGAGTTGCAGGTGGCCCTGAAAATGGCAAAGTGTACTGCAAGTACTTACAGCCACCCTAAAAACCCACATGTCACATGCATTGAACAAATACACTCACACCTGCGGTATTTTGTTTGACATATGTGGCACAATCCAAATCGAAGATGTTCCATTCAATGTCTCAGCCCATGTCTCAACTCCCAGAAACTGAATTTCCATGAATTTCCCCGAGCTTCGGAGTCGAAGGCGATGGTATTGGGGCGAACTCGAAGAAGCGTGCGCATCTGCGTCAAAATGCCACAAGCAAGAAACCACTTCAGGCCCTTAGCACATGCCCCCACCTGGGCACCGGGAATGTGAGAAACTCCATAGAATCCATGGCTGAAATCGTGCCCTTTGGCAGTCCAATCGAGGAAAAATCATCGGGCAGACAATGAAAATAAATTAAACATATATTTTAACATGTTTTGACACTACAGTACCCACTCAATTGGTGAAGCATGGTGAAGCGCGTGTTGTGCTATGTTTGTCCCAGTTATTCGCAAAAAAAAACAAAAACAGGAAACTGACCCCATGTCAACCTCAGACTCCTACGCTAGCACTGCACGTGATCAGGTTGCTGCGCAACGCCGCGCAAACCATGGAAGATAAAAGGGCCAGGGCCGGCTGCCAGGCCCTTTCCTGCGCCAGGAACCAACCACTGGGGTCCATAGATAGAAATCATCCCAGGAGTATGCCCCGCAGTGATGCACCCCATCCATAAATGTGGGATTCTTTATTGATCTTTATTGTTGGGCTTAGCCCATTAAGAAGTTCATCTTCCGAAGGCCATCTTTGATCCTGTTTTCCATATACATATGTAGATGTTCCATGAATTCCATACAGCTTGCTCGCAACAAGCCAGCAGACACAACCAGCATCCAACAGCGTCCTTGGCAAGCCTCAGGTCCGACCAAATCATGGGCATGGAGAATCCTGCACTGAGCATATCAAATCCCTTGGAATGCCCAGGAGCCTGCCCAAAGCTGCACCATAGACCACCTCTCAGCTGTTCAGGGGACTGTGTGGGTTCTGTAAAGTGGTAGATGTGGGCCAATAGCATAAAGAACATACGCACAGCACACAGGCCTTACCCTGGTCTTTCCAGTCACCGACGTTCTTTCTCATCTTTTAAATGCGAGTCCAAGTCAGTCGCACCGATACCTGTCTCCAGATTCAGGCGCCCCCATCTATAGCCATCAATACATACCCACTCGTCTATACTCACTATTTACTATCGATCCATCCATCCATCCATCCATCTTCTTAACATACATGCGTCCTTGTGCACATCATGCAGTGAATATCAAAGACACATCGGGTGTCCATGACATCTGGGCTCATCAGGGCCCTTGAGTCATCACTGAGTTAGCCTTGAGCAGTTCCACGAATGGAAAACATCAGAGAGCCAACTGCCTGCGTCAGTGACACATCACCTTTGTGTTTTAACATGGTAGCGGAGCAGTGATCCCTGGAATCCCTGGAGCGATCAGCAGGGTGAGCTCCAAGCAACAACAACAACACACAGCATCAGCAGGTAAGGTGAGCATCAACAATTACAACAACAGCTGCAGCAACAATGGCAGAGAAACAAGTGAGGACAATGCATCAGTACAAAATCCCCCCACCAACATACGACAGCAACTATTGACAGTTCAAAGAATGGAAGTATCGATTCGCAGCATATGCAGGGCTCATCATTGCAGCATTCCCAAGACTGTTGGCCCAAGCAGAAGCATCACAACAAACCATCACAGATCAACTCCTGACAGATGGAGCAGCATCACCAGCAGAAAGACAACTACGGACAAGACTGGCAGCAGAACTCCAGTTCATCTTTAGTCTCAACAAACAAAGCAGAAGCAGAAGCAGCGGCAGCGGCAGCGGCAGCAGCAGCGGCAGCAGCAGCAGCAGCAGTTTGCCGACAAATGGGCATCAACAACGGCTTTGAGACATGGAGGCAAATTCATCGAAGGTTCTCCATCCCAGTTGGGACAAGAAGCATCGGTTACCTCACCAAACTCCTGAAGCCATCTTTGACGAAGCCTTTGCATCATGGGAGTTTGAGGTCAACAGATATGAAAGGAAGAACAAAGTCACCATCCCAGACTCCATCAAGATAGCCATCTTACTGAACGAGACAAAGGGAGCTCTGCAGCAGCATCTCCAACTCACAGCATCTAGCACGACATCAGCACCAAAGCAGACAGAAGACAAAGGCATCACAACACAGGAAGAAGAGACACCAGCAATCGAGGATCAACAACCCATGGAAGAAGAAGCAGCGTCAGCAAAGAAACAGAAGGTCACCATCACAGAGGAGACACCAGCGCATCCAACAACAGCACCAACATCAATTGCACCATCTATGACCCCCGCAAGAGCACGAGTTGGAAGTCCAACATCAAGAAGGACACTGGACGACAGCATCACAGAAGGAAGCACAGCAAAACAACAAAAGACAACAACAGAACAACAGGCAGCGCAAAGGCCTGAGGCATCACCAGAACCACCAAGAACAAAAGGACGCATCAATGCAGTGACAGTTCAAATGAAGAATAGACAAAAAGTGACAACACAACATGTGAAGATCCGACAAAATCAAAGACAGAGCAAGGACTATTGGAACCCATCCTCAAAGATTCACAAGGATTTGATCAGGAGAAGTTGAAGAAAGGAATGATGAAGGACATGACATCAATGGTCAATCACGGAGTGTTTGAAGAGATCACATTCGACCAAGCAACAGAAGAGGAGAAGAGGAACATCATAGGCTCCAAATGGGTTCACCGAAACATAGGAGATGAAGTAAGGTCACGCATCGTTGGCATAGGATATGATGAAGTCATCAAGGACGCAGATGACGTCTTTGCATCAACACCACTCTTTGCAATCCTCGGGGCCGTCCTATGCATTGCATTAGCATGATCCTGGAGCATCAGGGTAGGAGACATCAGCACAGCATTTTTACATGCACCACGGGGCAACAACAAACATCCTACTAAAACCACCAGCAGAGTTCTACACCAACAAGAACATCTACTGGAGACTGAAGAAGGCGATGTATGGTCTCAGGTCATCACCAAAAGCCTGGCAAGACCATCTGGCAAGCATCATGAGAGAACTGGGCTACATACGACTCACATCAGAGCCCAATGTGTAAAAGCATCCAGAAGGAAAGGCACACATCATGGTCTTTGTCGACGATCTGCTTTTTGTAGGAGAAACAGAGGAGATCAACAACATCTTCAACAAGATCCAAGACAAGATGTTACTACGAGCAACTGGTGAAGCATCACCTGGCAACGAATCGCCAACAAAGGAGATCCTTTCGACATCAGTCTGGATGATGAGTACGTGGACAACATCTTCCACAAGATGAAGCTCAACAAATGCAATCTAGCAACAACAACAACAGGAAAAGCCGATGTTGAAGACGAGCAACTGTTCGATCCACAGGAGCATCAACAATTGCGACGACTTGTCGGAAAACTACAATGGCTGGCATACACCAGGCCAGACATCAGCTACGCAACGAAAGAACTTGCAAGAGCACTTCAACAACCAATCATCAAAGACCAGAAGAAACTACGACATCTGGCCAGGTACCTTGCAGGGACAAAAAGGCTACAAATTCAGCACCGGACCAACAATCAAGCTGTATGACAAGACACCACAGCAACTCGACTTGAACATCTATGTCGGCTCCGACTGAGCAGGATGTCATCAGACAAGATGAAGCACAACAGGCTTTGTCATCGAGCTACTTGGCACCTGCATCCACTTTGGATCACGAACACAAGGAGTGGTAGCCTTATCATCAGCTGAAGCTGAGTTCTATGCCAGTGGCACTGGAGCCCAAGAAGCGCTATACATCAGGAACTTCATCATGGAAGCCCTGAACACCAAGCGCATCAACCTGCGCATCCACACCGATAGCTCAGCGCAAAAATCTATGGCAACAAGACAAAGAATATCAGAACGAGCAAAGCACATCCAACTCAAGTTCATGTTCATCCAGGACCTCATCCAAGGAGGCGTGGTATCACTACACAAAGTACCAACCAAAGACACTAAGACACCCCCGCAGACATCCTCACAAAATACGTGACAGCAGAAGTGCTGAGATGGCTCACCTACAGCACTGGCATCAACATACGTTGAAGCAAAGCAACAACAGGTATCACCAGTATCACCAGTATGCATGTAACAAGTAACAAGCATACATCCAGCATCATCAGCGTTTCCGCAGCCATCGTCATGGTGTCATCAAGTGACCGAATCGAAACGAACATCGGGAGATGGCGGCATCAGCGACGGTGTAATCTCAGCAATCTCATCACGGGTCGATCATTCTGGATCAGGTAGCTATCAAAGATCTGCAAGATCAAGGTTACTACCTCTTTCTGCATCTACTCCGTGAAGAGTATCATCGCCTGGAGCACTACATCAGTAACCCTCACGATCTTGCCAATGAGGCAAACACCGTGACGAAGGTGACGCATCTTGACGGAATAGTCTGAGACGCCCGTGGCAACATCTTGGCATGCATCAAGGAATCAAGGACACGATCACTCCGTCCTTGTGGCTGATGACGGAAGGCCGCATCTCGACGGACAACATCAATGAATCCTACATCATTGGATTCAAGCCATCGATGTGGTCATCATTCCATCAGTTATTGGAGATCAAAGGCATCAGTGGCTTTACTTGCCATCACATGGCATCATGCTACCAACTGCATTTGGGCCACACCTACCACTTTGATCCCATCGAAATGCGCGATCAAGTTGTCACCAACTGCAAAGGTGACATCTCGACCATCTATGAGCAGGACTCATGGGCATCAGGAGTGATTTGGGACTATCATGTCCCTGTGACCATCGATCGTGCCATGAAGGATGATCGAACTGAACATCTGATGAAGAACATCGCTGATTCCATCGGGCATGCAGGCTTGCATCTTCTCTGCTCATCAAGCCCTTTGGAGGCATCAGTGAAGCAGGCATCATCGACGCCTGCTTGGCATCTGGGACTACCATCGCGAGTCCATCGACCATCCCAAGGAAGAGGTTCAGAGGACATCCTGAGCACCACATCTACCTGAAAGAGATGTTGGAGTGCATCAGGGACAATCATCGACCCAGCACGGAAGAACATCCCTCTGTTCCATCCCATCATTTTGATGAACCCATGGATGAGATCGAAGAGACCATCTGAAAGGCAAATCGAAATTTCAAGATCGAGAAACATCCGTGGAAGTAATATCCTAGGATGAAATCGACATCAACTGTACAGACTTTTGTGCAAAGTGGCCACCTAAAGCTTATGGATCTTTTCAGAACACCATCGGTAGTGATCAGATTTTAACATCAGCTTCAATTACTGTATATAGATTGTTGGCATCAGTTGTGGCATCAAAGGTTGAAACATCTGTGCCAAGGAGGCACGTTATATATCAGAGACACATCGGGTGCCCATGACATTTGGGCTCATCAGGGCCCTTGAGTCATCATTGAGTTTGCCTTGAGCAGCTCCGTCGGCGGAAAACATCCGAGAGCCAACTGCCTGCATCAGTGACACATCACCTTTGTGTTTTAACACATGCATCCATCCATCCGTCCGTCCGTCCGTCCATCCATCCGTCCATCCATCCATCCATCCATCCGTCCATCCATCCATCCGTCCATCCATCCATCCATCCACACTTCCTCCATCCTTAAGTCAGCCCCGTCAACCATTCAGCACCCCAGAGCGCGCGCCTCGTCAGATCTCAAACTGCTCGAGGTCACGAAAGCCAAGATGCCAAGGACACCGTGCCAGCCACGGACACAACCACTGGAAATCTCCTGATCGACCCAGACATCATTGGCTGTCAGAAATTGGTTTAAATTGTAATTTATCGATGTTTATCCCATGTAAAAATGCCCTATCTAAGTGGCAAATAAGATAAATTGATAATGATCAAGCCCGAGTCAAATTGATAATAAATCGATTTTCATTGATATAGAAACTGAATGACCTTAGTCAAACCTTACTCGTTTTGGAGTAGTTGTGCCATATCCCCACTTTGGGGGCCCATCCTTGTGGAGCTGATGTGGTCTTTGAACCAGATAGACAGATAGACAGACAGACAGATAGATAGCTGGATGGATGGATGGATGGATAGAGAGAGAGAGAGAGGAGACAGAGAAAGATAAGAGGGAGGGAGGGAGGGAGGGAGGGAGCGAGAGAGAGAGAGAGAGAGAGCGACTCAGAGCCTCAACCACCTTTCGATCCATCAGTGGGTTCCCTCTGCCTTCCGTGCGTCACAAAAACACACCTCTCCTATAGGTTCCCTATCTTTGAAACTTCCGCCACCGCCTTGTGCGGTCCTACTGGTTATATAATATATATATATATATATGTGTGTGTGTGTCTGTGTGTAATTACATGTATATGTATAGATATATATATATATGTGTATATATATATATACATACATACACGCTCTATCTGCATGTTACACGTGTGTGTGTGTGTGTGAAAGCCTCAATCACCAACATCCACCAGCCCTTGGCAAGCAGCACCTGAGTGAGGCTCACAAGCTTCTGCTTGAGCACATGTTTTCGTTTGGGCTGCTGATTGCGCGGCGAATCCTGGGCTGCATGCCCCATGCATTGACCAACATCCATAGTTGGGGCACCTTGGTCCTTTGCAGCCTTCCTGTTTAGAATATTTTAGAATATGAGATCTTATCATATGGCAGTGTGTCAAAACCTTGTACCCCTGGTGAACATCAAAATAGCTGGTAAATGGATGTTCATCCCACTAAAAATGGTATTAATAGGTATTGATCCATACCCACATCTTATCATGATTCTGACTGTGCTCAAGGAAGGAGTACCCAAGTGGGCCACATGGCAAGCCAAAGTCGGTTGCAGCTGGGGATCAACACAGACACAGCAAGGAATGCTCGGCCCGGACGTCACGGCCAGCATCTACACACACCTGCAGCCATGTGCTGGCTCACTACCCTCTGGTAAACTAACATAGCTATGGAAAATCACCATTCTCAATGGGAAAATGCACTATAAATCACCATTTTCAATAGCTATGTTAAATTACCAGAGGGTAAGTGAGGCATGCTGGGCCCATGTACCAGGGAGAATCCAGAGCTTGATTCCGTTGATGAAATGTGCTGCGACACTCTGATGAACTGTGGCTTCCTTAAGAATCCTCGGTCAAGACTTCTCCTTGGAGCACTCATCAACTAACCACCAATCATTGCGCAAGGCACCTGGAAGTTGGCACAGCCTCCCTCCTTCCAGCGAACTTTCATGAGAACTGTCAAAGCCATTGCCATGGCAGGGCCAGTGGACATGGCCGGGGAGACTAAGGAGACGCGAGAAGTGCGGTTCCAGAGGCAGCAAAGTTCCAATCGCTTTGAAGTAGAGTAGAGTTGGAGAGTTGTTCCAAGGCGACAGGCTACATGGCCCTGGGCACTTCTGCAAAAAGGCTCGTGCAAAGATGTTTGGTGCTACATGGGCCAATGCTCGCTGACCCAAGGAAGTGATTGCACCCAAACACCTGCGCATGACTGGATTTATCCGCTGTTTTTGGCAGCGCACACGACTGCTTGGAGCCAGGACACATATATTCGTGTACCGGCATACCAAAATGAAGAGCAGCATAGAAAACATATGAGCAAATGGTGTGACATATCCTGGTTCGATTCATGGTGGAACATGGTGGAACCATCTACTCGGAAGCCGAAAGATCTGAAGTCTTTCTTCCTCCCCTCACCTCCTCGGTCTCGGCTTGAGTCTTCCATGCCTCCCTGTCCTTTTGACCTTCCAAGCCTCAAAGGCACATGTCCAGCTGAGCTCAACTGCAGTGCAACTACTGCGCATGGAGAGGTTAAAAGTAAACGCATCTCAATAGAGGAAAAGGTCAGAAGACCACACCCTCCTATCCAGAGCTTATGCGACAAAGAACCCCTTGTCAGCTGACTGAACCCTTCCGCCCCAGAAAAGTCAACAAGAAAAGTTCAACAACCATTATAAAAACATATTATGGAAGACCCACCATGAATGATCATGAATGTAGATCACGTTCCTTTGGATTCCCCATGTGTTTTCCATGTTGTCTGATTTATTATTTGAGGGTAACTGCACTCAATGTGCCATCGCTGCTGCGGGCTACTGGGTTGCGAGCTCTCGGCATGGACCTGCTGTCGCTCCGACATGATCCTTTGAAACCTTGATATCATATGACAGCCCAAAGATGTCATGACTATCTCATCAAAATTCAAGCTCCCTCAATTTGCATGGCATGGGAGAGTTTAAATATTTTACAGTAAATCCAACCAGTTTCATGAAATTTCATGCACCGCAACTCAGCTGAAAGGCTGAACTTGATATCCCACCACCAGCACCGCTGGGGCCTTCTGCAGAGCTTGCAACTGTCGCTGGACTTGCTGCTGCTCTTGCAGGCTCACTGCGAGCTGCTGGGAGTGACCTCGACGACTCGACGGAGCGGCAGGCCACTGGGAAGATCCCATGTTTCGTGAAGATTGTGAAGATACACTAAGAAACGACAGATCCAGAAAGAAATTCAAGATGGAACAAGAACTGTGGCGGAACAGCCAAAATATATAATCCGAAGTTTTGGACGTGTCCTTTCAAAAGGATTCAAAAGGCTCAACATCCTTCGTTTCAACAAATCCTTAGTGAGAACCTAGCAGCCCGCTACAACATGATACAACTACTCAGCAAAATTGCATGGATTCCACGGTCTTTTTTTCTTCTCCCTCCGGCAGCTATCAGCACGTTCCACCATGAAGTAGTACCTGTCCTTAGCTGACCAGTTATCAACCACTTTTCCCGCATTTCAAACTTTCAAACAATGGAGCTACACTATGGTACATCAGAATCTCAAAGTTCAACAATTTTTTGAGATGGCATAGGAAATCACTAGGGAAGACTTGAAAACAGGAAAGTCATGGAAAGTCATCTTGCAATTGAAGTTTCTGCAGGTTTCATCTTATCTACGTACCACAGGCTGCGTCACGTCCTTGACGTTTCTGCTGATTCTCCATTCGTTGGGATCCATGGTGCCTTTCGCCCAAGCATCGAAATGATCACCTTTCGCCCAAAGTCGGTCAAAGTAGGAGGTCCTTAGGATCCAGTGATTTTTACCCGTGACTTCCAGACTTTTGCATATGATATAAATATGTCTAGACATGTCCACACACATACACACACACATATTATATATACACACAGGATTATATACACAAACACCATAAAAAGATATAAAAAGCATCGCTTAGACATGAATTTTTTCAGAGACATACTAGAAACACACCTTCAATTAGTCACTAATTAGTTCTATAGATGTCAACTCGCCAAATCGCCAGGCTTCGTCTTCTTGGTATGGCCAACTCGTTTCCCGGGTTTCCCACAGATCACCTGGATGTTCTGCACCATTTCGCCGGGAGGGAGCTCCGCAGACTCCGCAGACCTGCAAATAAGTGATGACTGCGGTTGTTTTTTGGGAATTACTTACCCTCTGGTAAACTAACATAACTATGGAAAATCACCATTTTTAATGGGAAATTATTCCACTATAAATGGTCATTTTCAATAGCTATGTTAAATTACCAGAGGGTATCTTGAAGAACAACACAAATATGCGTGGATATGGTAGAAACATGTAGAAACCATGGGGAAAAACATATGGAAAAATCATGAAAACTTACTATGGGAAGTGCGAAACTTCAGATACAGAAAGTCTCCATCGAAATATTCACCAGATTTCACCAGTTCAAAACCACCAGGGGCTCTTGCAAAGCTTCCTGCCGTTTCTTGAAATCCAAGACACATAAACAGCATCGCACATTGATCATCACAAAGCTTTGAAATTCTGCGTGCCAGTCGTTGGATGTACCTCTGAAGCACAAGTGGAACGCTTGGAAGTTTCTATTGGGTGTTAAAAATGGGCATCTGTGCCCCCCCCCCTATAGCGGCTATTTCATTGTGAAGGCAATGAATTCATTGAATAACCATGAATAACCGCAGTGAATGATGATGAACTCAAATCAGTGGATCCAGCGTACCCAAGACTGGGGCAAAAGCAAACAACCCGAGCATGAAAACAGCTTACGAATGAGGACAGTTGCACCTCCAATTTGCAAAGCGTTTGTTGTGAATTGGTAATCCATCCCACAAGCATCCCACTCACCAACATTCATCCCACATTACCGGGGATGCCCAATCACAAACTTCTACTGGATTCATATCTACTCATCAAACTAATCATATCGACTGTCAGCATCAGAAAACCTCTATGACTCTATAATGGTGTGTGCCAGCGTCTTGCAATGCTTAGGTTTGGGACACGCCGACTCCCCACTGTTTCACCACGTCAAATTGCATCATTTGGTATGGATATGCATGGTCTTGTTATGGTGGGTGGCTGATTTTGTGACACACCCAAGAATTTCATGGCATCATTGCCCGCGTAACAAGAACAATATGAACAATCAAGAACACAAGGCCCTCGGTGTGAATCCTTTTCCTCGGTTTCTTTGGAATGTTCCTTGCCGGCTCCCGTCTTGGACGTTAGAGCCGCAGATGGCTCAACGCAGCTGGTTGGAGAGTTTCCCTCGGAAAACTGAAGGTGGTCGACTATGGCAATTAAGCCCACGGCTTCTATAAACCCACTGCTTGTGCTTGCAATGACTTGCTGAAAATTCTTGAACTGAATCCAGATTAGGAAGCTAAATGCATCTGGAAGACACTGGACCTCCAGCAGTCACCCTATCAAAGGCAAGCATATGCACATATTTGCGTTGTTCGGCGTCCAAGGTTCCCATGAGTTTGTTGGATCATGTAGGATCCCTATCTTCCGGGTCCGTAGCAGTTCTTTAAAGATTTCAAAAGATTTCAAAGACTCAGCTTCAGCTTCCCGCAGCTTCCCAGCTGCAGACTTTCCAGGGCACACTTTGGTGCCACAGCCATCACTTCTCCGCAGGATCCGATTCCCGTACTGAGCTCAGCGCTTGGCTGAGCGCCGCGCTGATCACGGTGGACGTCTTGGATTTGTGGGACCTGCGAACAGCCATGGAATGGGTTGCCATGGGATCGGATAGGATTCGGAGAGCTTTTTGCATTTTGCATCGTTTTTGTTGGGGGACTGTGCATGAATATAATATGATATTTACACCCTGGTGGTGATTGTGATAAGATCAATGCATCAATCATCCGACAAAGCCGGAAGGACAGCTTTCTCGACTTCTCTTCCAGACTTCCAGCTATTTTTTGCAGCGAGCCTGGTTGCTCTCTTGGAGGATCGGGAACTATCTCTAATGATATCCAGCATGTCTCTTTCAAGCTCTTCAAAGGGGTCAACATCTCCACCTGTCCTCTCCTGGCAGACTTCACAATGGGACCCGCAAACTGCACGTTGTCATTGAACTACGACACCAACATATACCAACAGGACCAAAAGAATGCCTAAAATCTCCGGAACGTGGATGCTCCTCCGGCCAAGGCATCTCAACAGATGACGTCCCACCATAGCCTCGATGCTGGCAGGCCCAGCATTGGGCTACAGTAAGTGAGCGAACACACTGCTGAACCCGAACTGGGTATATCTGGGTATGGTTTTTATCACTCACAACTTGACCCCAAATGGTAAGACTTCGCTTGGTTTGCATATGTTTCTATATCAAGATGATTGTCCAATTACCATCGAAACCGAGTAGGCATCCAAACCAAGGAGGGCGCCACAATCCCTTGGATCCCTTGGATCCCTTGGATCCCTTGGCCAGTCCCATGCTGAAACTGTCCCAGCTGCGCTTAATGGTCTCGGAGGCTGTGGGATGATTCACGGCAGGCTCTAGGACCTGAAGCCCACCAGCTATCCCAACGTCTCCGGCATTGAACTCCTGGGCCACGGCGGCCACGGCGGCCACGGCGGCCACGGCGGCCACGTGTTATGGCTGGAAGGTGAAGGGACCCGGGATGAGCCGGGCACTCAGAACCCAAAGTGAATCAAGTCAGGGGATGTCAAAGGCATATGCATAATTATAAAGGTTTTCATGTAGTAATATCAATGTACTATGATGTACTATGTAGTAATAGTGTAGGTGTAGTACCGTGTCGTGACAGATCCCAGATTGGTCATATTACATCATATTATAAATGCCCCACCAACATGCCTCATCCGATCCCAAAAAGCCGCAGTTTGTGGGACTCTTGCGCCTACGCTGCAACTAAATCAAGTCCCAAGGTTCCAAACGCTCCCAGAGATGCAGGTTCTCTTGGAAAGTGTTCCATTTCTTCTTGCTGATCGTCTCCACTAGGGCCACCACTGAATC